AAGTAAAGCCCCCCCACACCCCTGACCCTGGGGCCTTGAAATTCACAACTCTGCAAGATTAGGGCCTCATACCCAGAGACAGAGAAGAAAATTTTCAAAGATTTAATGTATTTTCACTATATAATCAATAGAGCCCCGCCCTAACACCAGAACCCCTGACCCTGGGACCATAAAATTCACAATTTTAGTAAAAGCACTCTTGCTCATCATAACTATGCACTTAGTTAGTTTATTTAATACCTAGGAGCAGAGAAGATTTTCAAAGAATTCATGTATTTTCACTATATAATCTATAGAGCCCCGCCCTAACACCAGAACCCCTGACCCTGGGACCATAAAATTCACAATTTTGGTTGAGGCACTCTTGCTCATCATAACTATGCACTTAATTAGTTTATTTAATACTTTGGAGCAGAGAAGAAGATTTTCAAAGAATTCATGTATTTTCACTATATATCAATAGAGCCCCCCCCAAAAAAAAAACAGAACCCTTGACCCTGGGACCATGAAATTCACAATTTTGGTTGAGGCACTCTTGCTTATCATAACTATGCACTTAGTTTATTTAATACCCAGGGGCAAAGAAGAAGATTTTAAAAGAGATCATGTATTTTCACTATATATAATCAATAGAGCCCCACCCTAACACCAGAACCCCTGATCCTGGGGCCATGAAATTCACAATTTTGGTAGAGGCACTCTTGCTAATCATAACTATGTTCTTAGTTGGTTTATTTAATACCCAGGAGCAGAGAAGAAGATTTTCAAAGAAATAATGCATTTTCACTATATACTTATTTAGCCCCGCCCTAGCACTAGAACCCCTGACCCCAGGGCCATGAATTTCACAATTTTGGTAGAGGACTCAATGCTGATTACAATCATGCAAACAGTTTGACTGCTTGATGTCCAGGAGTAAAGAAGAAGATTTTTAAAGACTGCATTAAATTTAGTGGTTTTGGCCCCACCCCTCAGGCTCCAGGGGGCAGGGATCATGAAATTCATAATTTTTGTTCCCCTTCACCCATAGATGCTTTGTGCCAAATTTGGTTGAAATTGGTTCAGTGGTTGCAGAGAAGAAGCTGAAAATGTTCCAATGTTAACACATGACGGACGACGAACGACAGACGACGACGGACAAAAACAGATAGCAATAGGTCACCTGAGTTTACTCAGGTGACCTAACAATCCAAAGCAGAGATAGTTTATAAATTGCTGCGTTTGGACAATTTAGAGCAAAACATTTAATTCCATTGTTTGGGTAACTGTCCTCTCTCTTGTATGATGTGAGGCATGACCAGGTTGGGCACAGTTCCTTTTTTCAGGGAAGTATTACTATAAAAAAATATTACTCTTTTCAGTAATAAAAACATTACTCAATTCGGGAATTTTTGTCACATTTTTTTCAATAAGGCCTCAAATCCATTTATTAAATTAAAAGTGCATAAAAAATACGATGTGATGTGTTTATAATCTTTATTAAACGAGCCTCGCTGACCAAGAAATTTGGTCCTTCAGTGCTGCAGACAAGAGTAAGACGAAATTTAATCATTTTCCCCGTTGATAAATGGTGCAAAAAGTATGGAATCTAATAAGGACATTCATTCTAAAACCATTTTAAAAGAATATCGTTTGAAATTTAATATTTCAAATAATTATTTTCATCTGTAAAAGAAGCAATGGTATTTATAATTATTTTTACGATGTCATTTAAGGAGGCTCATTACACCACTTTTTGATGATGTACTACACAAAAAAATAAACCTCCATTGTGTCGACTGGTTTCCTCTGGGGACGAATTGTACAGGTACCTCTCTAATATGACCCTAACCTTTAAAACGCTTTAAAAATAGATGAAACATGCGGTGTTATAAACAGTGAAAACAAAGTAACGGATTCATTATGCATAAACCATGAAGAATTGCTTTTAAGCAGAAACAAAAGAAAACAACAGCCAAATCTTCGCCAAACAAGTAATGTCAATTTCATAGCGATGCATGCAGTGAGCTCTATCAACCAATGGAGGAAATTCAAGTTAAAATCTACAACCTTGTTGAAATTAAAGTTATTAACTTGCACTATTTACTTTGTTGGTGTTAATTTATATATTTGCTTTATTGATTTAAATGTATACTCTGGCAATTTAAAGCTTTGTTCTGAATTTTAGATGTAATGTCAAACGTTCCTTAATGTTTAGAGTCTTGGGTAATTAGGAAAGATAACTCTTGAAAGTGGACTTTTTATACCAAATATTTTTTAAATTGGATTTTTCATTTCGTTTAAACATTCTTCATTTAATTTGACACATGTAATTCATTGAAATTCATTCCTTGTCTCTTCAGAATTCATTTTCTTAATGTTTTATGCATAGATTAAAAAGAAAATGACATTAATTGTTTTTTAGGAGAAAATTATTTTTTCTAATGAAATTATTATTAGGTATTATGAGGTATTTTCACTGTGTGCACTTGTCTTAAGAAGATGCCCATCATTTGACACTGAAAGTTCTGAAATTCTGTTTATAATACACTTGAAATGAAACATTTCACTAAAATTAGACAAAAACTAAAAAATTCTATAAAAAATATTTCTGATATCAATACCCCCATCTGGATATTTGACACCTACATTATAAGTGGTGCTGCATTGAAATCTAAAATAAACTGTGGATGTAATGAGCCACCTTAAAGAAATACCGGTAGTATAAAACTAAATTAGAACGAATAATCTCATGAACGAGTTAGCAAGTGCTGAACGTATTCAAACTCACAATTTTAACACAGGTAAGCTTCCGTAAGAAATCTATATCATAGAAATATTTCATCACTCTTTTTCAGCTTTTTGCAGCAATAAATATTGCAGTTTTGAGCACACAAAATACCCTTAAAAGACTATAAATATTTAGAGGATGTGAAAATATTCTTTATCTTTTATTCAAAACAAACATGAGAAAAGAGGCTAAATGTCGGAGATAAAATTCCCGAAATGAGTAATGTTTTTATTACTGAAAAGAGTAATAGTTCCCTTTTATAGTAATACTTCCCCAAAAAAGGAACTGTGCCCAACCTGATGACTGAGTATTATTACTTTACATTGTGCTGAATAACTCTCATACATAGCCCCAAAACTTTCAGAACTTTGATTGCAATTGTGCAGAAAAAGACAATTCTTCAAGAGTGATTTTTACATGAATTGTTTTCAGATGAGTTAGTTGAAAATGATCACTGCATCAAAATGAGATTTTCTGCACATCCTGAGAAAAATGCTTTTTTAGGGTAGACTTTACTTTACCCGTCCCCAGATCCACAAGATCCTTGCGCTCATTGGACAATGACGTAACAACTACGTCACTCAACTGAAATGGGTTAAATATGCACACTATTCGACTGATTAGGGTTAGTCTTGCACCCACCTGAGAGATTAGGATTAGTCATTGCACTAGTATTCGACTGATTAGGGTTAGTCTCGCATCCATTAGAGAGATTAGGGTTAGTCCTTGCACATTATTTGACTGATTATGGTTAGTTTAGCATCTGCCCAGGAGATTTCGTCTGAACGTCTTAGTCCTTGCATACCATCCAATGGATTAGGGTTAGTGACTCGTTCTTTTAGATTAGTTAAGAAATTTAGTTGTTTCTGTAATTTTTCCATGATCATAATTCAGATTCATAGGCATTTCGTTCGTTTGTTTACATGGGAGAATGGCTAAGTAAGAAAGAAATGACACTAAGCATGCGCCGCACTCGTTTCGTTCGGAATTATTCTTTGTCGATTTTTTCCATGAATAAACGATATTTAGGCCAAAAAAAATAATAGTCCTGTTTCCTGCTACCAGCCTGAAAAAAATAGGGTAGGTAGGTAGGAAAATTATTTTATTTTTCTTTTTTCTTTTATTTTTTTCTGACAGTGTTTCTTTGGATATGAACTAATACAAGATCAAATTAAACATGCCATATAGGTCAATATTGCCTTTCTAAATGAAATTTCTTGTCTTTTGAAGCACAACTCAAGTGGTATTTTATGAAAGTCCATATTTAAAACAAAGAATTTTATGAAATACCAATTGAGTATATATTTTTTTTAGATTTCGAACATGAAATTCCAAAAATTCCTGATTTTTTTCCCCAAAACTTAAAAAAAACTTTAGGGTCGGGTGCAAAAAAATAGGGTAGGTCGGGTAGCAGGAAACAAGACTATTTTTATTTTTGGCCTTATTAATTTTTTTCAGAGAACGAGGTTATAAACTTTGTTTAAATACAAAGTTTCAAACTAAACTTTCAAACGTAGAATTCAATTTTGGGGTCAAAAGGCCAAAAAAACCTCGTATTTAATTTTTTTTTGATCGCTCACGCGATCTCATATATACTGAAGTCGCCTCCGGCGACACTACATTTTAGCGCGTTTTTCTGGGGACTGGTAAAGTAAAGTCGTTCCATTTTTTATATAAATAAATTGATTTGGTAGCTAAATAAAGCTATCTCAGGTAGGTAAATAGACCAATCCACACTTTGCAAAAGTTGTTTCCCTTTGTGGGGTCAACCAAAAGGTCAAAAGAGAAAGAAATGTCATTTCTCCTCTTTCTGCTATCAAATACTTGGGCGTGCTGTGATAAATCCATTGTGTTTAATTTTTTTTCTTTCAATGTGTGGGTAGCTCCATGTTGGGGCAATCAGTACACAAAAGGCAGCGATTTTTTTAAGTCAAATGACGAAATTACAAACCTGAAAACTACAAAGGTTACCGTTTTCCCTTAAGATGCGGCCAAGGGACATAACTTTTGAAAAATGTGGGTTCTATAAAGCTAAGTCGGTAAATCAAGCTACGTAGCTAAATCTAGTGATTGTACCCTCGAAATTCGGACCCTGTGTCGATTTTAGGACCTTCGACCATACCAGACCTGTCTGTCAGGAACCATGATGCTATCTTGAAAGTCGTACATCAGATGTAAGCACAAAACAGAATAAATTAACTGATTTATCTTTTCACTTATTCTTGCTTACCTCAAAACCTGAATTATTGAACTCATTTTTTATAACCATAACAAAGATTAGCTTTCGAGAAAAATTAGCTCGCCTTTCCTTTTCGACTCCTATTACCGGAACAATAATTTTAAGCATATCGATCCCGATTTTTTAGCGACCAATCTCCATTGCTGTCGTTCGTTCATCAAACACTTTTTAGCTCACCTGAGCCGAAGGCTCAAGTGAGCTTTTCTGATCAAAATGTGTCTGTCGTCGTCGTCGTTGTCGTTGTCGTCGTCGTCGTAGTTGTCGTAAACTTTTCACATTTTCATCTTCTCAAGAACCACTGGGCCAATTTCAACCAAACTTGGCACAAAGTATCCTGGGTGAAGGGGATTCAAGTTTGGAAGGGCCACGCCCTTTTTCAAGGGGGGGGGGTAATTCAGAAATAGTGAAAATTTGGTGGTATGTTTTAAAAATCTTCTTCTCAAGAACCACTGTGCCAGGAAAGATGAAACTCATAGGGAAGCATTTTCAGGTAGTGTAGATTTTTTGCTTAAATCATGACCCCCAGGGTAAGGGCGGGCCACAATGGCCGGTCAAAGTTTTACATAGAAATATAAAGGGAAATTCTTTAAAAATCTTCTCAAGAATAGCAAAGGCATGAATGATCATACATGTATTTATATGGAAGGCTCGAGCATCCTCAGGTAGTGTAGATTTAGGTTTGTCCAAATTATTATCCCTGGGGGTTGGGCAGGGCTTCAATGGCGGATCAAAGTTTTACATATAGACATTTATACGAAAATTCTTTAAAAAATCTTCTCAAGAAAATCTTCTTCTCAAGAATAGCAAAGGTATTAATGATCATATTTATATGGAAGCATCCTCAGGTAGTGTAGATTCAGGTTTGTACAAATCATGACCCCCGGGGGTAGGGTGGAGCCACAATGACTGATCAAAGTTTTACATAGAAATATAAAGGAAATTCTTTAAAAAATTTTCTGCTCAAGAATAGCAAAGACGTGAATGATCGTATTTATATGGAAGCATCCTCAGGTAGTGTAGATTAGGTTTGTTCCAATTAATAATGATCCCTGGGGGTAGCGCGGGGCTTCAATAGCAGATCAAAGCTTTACAATGAAATATATAGGAAAATTCTTTAATAAAAATCTTCATCTGAAGAATAGCAAAGGCATGAATGATCATATTTATATGGAAGCATCATCAGGTTTGTTCAGATCATTATATGGAGAAATGGTGTTCATTTTGCTCATTTACATATTCGCCATATTGGAGCTATAATGGCGGCAGGTTCCATAAAGGTTTATATAGAGAACTTACCCCAAAAATGCAAATTTTTATAAACTATTTCGGATAAAGTTCTTTTTTATATCTTCTACTGGAAATTACAATAATGTTGATGCTAAAATGAAAGTTGCGACCGCCTTTTTAATTTGAAAATTCGAAGCGATATTACATTGTTTTATTGAGGAAAAGAGAACTGAATTTATTTAAATATAATTTAGTGGCTTTCTCATTTTCGATGATGAAATGCAAGATGACAAAGTTCTTCTGCCGATTAATACCCGGTAGGTGCAAACGAATTTCTATTTTTACAAAATATAAATCTTTTAACACTTAATGAAGAGTTACGACTGCCTTTTTAATTTAAAAACGACAATTTTTTGCATCCGTGTGACCCACTTATCATTACAACAAACGGTAGCATTAATTGCCAACTGACATTCACGCTTAATTCTTCCCATATACATGTACCTATGACGGGGACTTAAAGAAATGAAAATGAAAATTAATAGTCTTGCATGTTTTTATTTTTAAAAACTAAAGAAATAGTATATTTTGAGTTTTTGCAGGATGTTATGAATATTAATGAGAAATAAATCACATGGGAGCAACCTCATGCATAAATTGCACAAAGACATCATTCCTCCATATGTGAACCCGGGGGTTGAGCGGGGCCACAATGGACGATCAAAGTTTAACATAGAAATATGGAGAAAAATTCTTTAAAAATCTTCTTTTCAAGAATAGCAAAGCCATGATTAGTCACATTCATTTGGAAGCACTCTCAGGTAGTGTAGATTCAAGTTTGTTCAAGTCATGACCCCTGGGGGAAGGAAAGGGCCACAATGTAAGTTCAAATGTAAAGGGCACAAAAGCCACAGACAGTCAAAGAAATATATAAGCATCCTTAGTTATAGTGTAGATTCAAGTTTGTTTAAATCATACCCTCTCCCCTTTTAGGATTGGTTGTGACCACTTTTGGGTTTTAACTTTTCAATAATAAACTGATTTCTGCTTTTTTTCCAAGCTACAGTGCTCAGGTAAGCGATTTGGCCCATGGGCTTCTTGTTTTATTGTTCTCCGCTTTCGCGAAAGAGAGGGGAAATTTTTAATCGTTTTCAATCGTTGGTGTTAAACAGTGACAGACCTGACGATACATACGTAATACAGTACAAAATACATGTATGTAAAAAAAAAAATAAAACAAAAGGTAAAACAAAACATTTATTGACAGAGTTCCCGGGCAACATGCGTTTTGTCGGCCTCAGGCAGACAGTTTGGTTCTTGGGTCCGACAAAACGGCCTCAGGCAGACAGTTTGGTTCTTAGGTCCGACAAAACGCATGTTGCCCTCGAACTCAGTCAATAAATGTATAATACTAAAGCAAGAAAAAAGTTACCTTGGACCCCCTTGGAAAACGCAGACCCCCCCCCCCTGGTTAACGCGAATTTGTATTAAATTGGTCTGAAATTAAAAGTCAAAGGTAAGAATCATTAGAAGTCATCGACTACCCCCCCCCCTCCCCGAAATAGGTTTTTAACGTTTGGGCGAGTTTACGTTTTTCTTTGTTTTTTGTTGTTGTTGTTGTTGTTGTTTTGGTTGTTGTTGTTGTTGTTTTTGCTTGTCAAGAAATTCCTGGGTTGATTTTTTTTGTACTGGGGTGGACCCCCCCCCCCCCCCCCCCCCCCAAGTGGAAAAAATTCTGGATCCGCGCCTGGTGGAACTCTCAACAGATAAGTTTGTACCTTGCAGCCTCTTTAAGAGGACAGGTTCAAACTGTACTTGGTAATATTCGACCAGGTGCAAAAATAACCAGTATGGAGCTATATGACGCATTACAATCAAGATTGCACCTGCAAAGCAAACTGCTAAGGGAAAACCGTCAAAAGCCAAGCGCAGGGGTAGAAACTCCCTAAAATTACAACTCGCAATTATTTGCGAGTACCAAAAAAATGAACTTGCAATTTTAAAATGAAAGCTTTTTATAAATATAAATGCATGTCATCATCCATGAAACTTGAAGTACTGTGAGTAACTTATTTATATTATCATTAATAAATGCAAAAACAAAACAAAACTGCAGATTGACACATTTATTTCAATAAAATTGTTTTTTTTTAAATTTCATAATACTTCAATATTTTTTCCAGTGTAACTGTCTGTTTATGTGTCCTATATATACCAAGATTAATTCAAGAAATATTTCCATTTCTAAATTTTTTCTCTATAATAACCCTTTGAAAGTAAGCGGAGTTGATTTCCTGATAATTCTGCTGGAATGTAAATTAGGCAGGTCGATAGGTCAGCAGCTACGTGTAAGGAGGCCTAATACGCATGCAAATCTCGTGTGCAACTGTCTCTGTGTCTGACGCTAAGGAGGCCAAATATGCATGTAAATCTCGTGCGGCTGCCTTTGTGTTTGACGTCAGTGTGCGAGGACTATTGAAATTGGCATGAAAGTCCTCGTGTAATTTAAATCGATTAGTCTACATTCTTAATGTCTAAGTCTAAATTTTATTTCACAATGAAATGGAAATATAAGGAATCACTGTCTAGTTTTGAGAGAATGCCAGGGACATCAACAATAGTGGGAAACATGGGATAATTTTAGAAGCCCGTTATGCAAATTATCCCATGTTTCCCACTATTGTTGATGCCCTGGCATACTCTCAAAACTAGACAGTAATTCCTTAATCATGTTCATTCATGCATTGCTTCAGTCACTACTTCACTGCTGCACTGCTCTAGATAACTCTCACAATTTTATTCCACCTCTCAAATGTTGGTCTTTTTATCTTTTGTCCAGTAATCCACCATCTCCATGCTGGTTGTTGTGGCTTGAAATCTTTTAATTTTGGTCCCATTATTGATATTTAGGGAATCACTGTCTAGTTAGGAGGGTATGTCAGGGCATCAACAATAGTGGGAAACATGGGATAATTTGCATAACCGGCGAAGCCCGTTATGCTTAAATTATCCCATGTTTCCCACTATTGTTGATGTCCCTGACATAACCTCCTAACTAGACAGTGATTCCTTATATTTCCATTTCACTGTGAAATAAAATTGTAGATTTAGACTTTAAAAATGTAGAAAAATAGATTTAAATCACATAATGACTTCCATGCCAATTTCAATAGTCCTCGCCAACCGACGTCAAACACAAAGGCAGCCGCACGAGATTTACATGCATAATTGGCCTCCTTAGCGTCAGACACAGAGACAGATGCGCACGAGAATTGCATGCGTATTAGGCCTCCTTAGCTCCCGACCTATCGACCTGTCTAATTTACATTCCGGCAGAATTATCAAGAAATAAACTACCCTAACTTTCAAAGAGTTATCACAGAGAAAAAAAATTAGAAATGGAAATATTCTAATTAAATCATCTAAGCTCTCTGCTGAAAGATTGCATCTCCAGTCACTCTTCACTCTTTTCATTACAGAAAAAGCACGTTCACATGATGCATTGTTTAATGGGTAAATGTTGACCAAATATATGATTTTCGAAATGTTCTGAAAGTCGCCTTTGCCTTCATCTTCTTTGCTAATCCTTTGCCATATTGTAAGAGAATGAACTGGTCTATAATGCACATTTATGGATATGTGCATCTTTAAGTCATTCAACTCTTCTCATTTTCAAATTGTTGCACATTTCTGACATTTTTGGTATATGTTCTCTGTATGTATTGCCTACCAAGTTTTGTTCAAATTCCAACTGAAAGAATTTTGTCCATTGTTCTCGATCATATTCCTCATGTTTCTTTCCATATTCTGTAATTTTGTAACAGCACTGGCAGTCCAGATGTCTTCTCTTTGAAAGAG